CAGTGAAAATCTGAAGCCTCTCAGGTCAGCTGTAAAATGCTTCTGATATCATCAGGAATGAGTCTCCTCAGTGGTAAACCTGGTAATCAAATGAACCTACTCAGGGATGTTTAAATTGTGTTGATGTGTAAATTGCTCAGAAGGTGAGTTATGTGGTGGGTACATAAGAGAGGTCTACAAGAAGAAGGGTCAGTCGAGTGAGGAAGGCAGATTACTTTACATAACAAGTTTTTTTTTTCATCATCTAGCTACGATACCTATTTAGCAGGAAAATGCTTAATGCTGTATAAAATGCACACATCCCCTGTGCATTTCGGGGAGTTTGCCACATGCTGGTTAGTTAGTCTCGTTCATATTTTATCTTTTTTTAATTACACAGTCAATATTCTGGAAGACAGGACTAGCGTGAGCTATTTTTGTACGGATTCCTACTCATAATTTCACACACACTCCTGAAATTAATATAGATTGTTATCTAATACTGCAGTTTGCATCCAAATCCATCTTTGTAATAAAAGCTGCATAAGGTCTTTCTTGGAAAAAGTCTGTGCTTTCTAAATGCTAATCACCTCTATTAAAATGAACAAATTCAAATTGTAATGAATTTTAAATACACATAATTGTGCATTGACTTGAATAATTTAAGACAGGAAAAAAATCCCAACTTCTAATGTTGACATTTTGACAAAGGCACACAGTTGCCCAATTAAGGTTCAAATAGACTCTATCTTAGAAGAATTTATTTCAATGAACAGCTACTTAGAAGCCTTAAATAAGTAAAATGAGTGCTTTGAAATAATCTGTGACTATTAACATGTAGCACTGGAAAAATCCCGAGTGAGCCAAAATGTTTCTTTGGATTAGTAGATTATAAAAAGAAGAAGAAACCTGGAAAAAAACCACGCAGTTCTTTACCTGCTTAGAAAGCTGTCCTTTATCCACATGTAGCCATCATTCTTCAAACCTGTGGAGGGAGTGATGGCATGCAGCATGTGTTGTGACCACCCTTTTTCTTCGATTTTTCCCACATTTTCAGTATGCTTTTTAATTGTTTTTATGCTAACAATTGACTATCATGAATTTTTAGACTTTAAGGAAAATTAATTTTAAAAGTACAGAGAAAATTATATTAAAAGCAGAGTAGAGAGCATTAGCTGAATTTCTCATCCCTCATTACTTTCCCTCTGTGGTGTCTGACATATTTGTCTTCTGATTCCATGTTCATCCTGTCTCCTTTCAGCACAGTTTCACATAATGTAAGTATGAATCTCAGACTTGCAAGATAAAAAGATGTCAGTGCATCTGTTCTGATCTTTGAATTGCCTCACTTTTATGATGTCACATAGCTATTACATTTCCTTTTGGGGACATTTTCTTGTATTTTGTCTTTCTATTCTTCCTAAAATATAATGAAATTTGTGCAAAAACTCTGAAAAATCTCTCCGATAGTCAAGGCTATGTAAGTCATTTTTAACAATATATTGGACTGATATAAAATATGGCAATTTATCTTGCTTGATTAGGATGTCTGTGTGGTTTAAGAACATATTAAATGGATTATGGATTTTTGACTGAAGAAATTGTCCTGTTTCATTTATCATTTCAATATAGATTTTTTTAAACTGTCCATGATTCAACTCATAAACCATAATGACTTATTGAATCTTTGCTACTGAACCAGCAGCCACTAAGTTAACTAATTTGTGTCACCATTTGATTTTGAAGAATGAGCTGCTTGAGGTAAGTTAGAAACCAGGAATACAAAAATTATCTTTCAAATGAAATGTGAATCATAAATAGAATCTGTTTTAATCACCCCTTCCCCCAACATTAGTTGATAACAATCAACAGTTTTATAGGGATTCAAAAAAAAACTTGATAATATTAAAACTTCAATAGATTTTTGATTCTATAATGGAGCATTCTATGCACTGTCCATTTGTGATTAACATTTATATCTGTTCCTCATGTATCTGTGCTAAGCATTTATTTTCAGAAATGAAATTTCTGGTATTTCATAATCTCTTTAAATGCCATTTGTGCCAAGTCTCCATGTGCAGCTACATTGAGATATGGTCCAAAACTCTCAGTCATATATCATATTATTCCAGTATTTCAGTTCTTAGTTTTGCTGAACTATTAATTTTGTAAGTTACAATCCCTTTCAGTAAATAAGTTTTTTTAAGTTTTTATAGGTCAAAGCTTTTTTAGAAGTCAGAAAGTTTCCCATTAACAGAAGTGCTTCAAAAATGTCATCTATTTTACCTAAAATGTGAAAGTTTTCAACAGTTTCTCACCTTCATTGTATAAAAAATTTGCAGTATTTTGCTTAATTTCACATGTTTAGTATGTTTAGATAAACTGAGATCATTTTTGGAACTTAAAACTTATCAGAATTCTCAGAGTTATCTATTAAAATACTTAGCAAGTATTTGTTTAGTTTTGCCTTATTTTCCAGAATAAAGCCTGTGCTATTTTAATCCACACATGAATATGCACATGCACTCAAGCAAACTTGTAAATGTTCCTAATTCTAATCATACATCCTTTGTTTGACGGTTTTCCTCTCTATATTGAATAGTAGGTATTGAGCCTGAAGAAGAAATGCTTTTCTGTTAATAAAACTTTTGGTGCAGCATGTTGTCTGGAAAATCAATCTAATTTTTCCTCATGATCTACAGGGGAAAGGGAGAAATATCTAAGAGAGCAATTGCCCTAAATTTCATTACTACCTTTGTATTGAGTCAATCAAATGTGGAATATCAATACATCTGCACAGCATGAGTGACTGTATCCTGCTATTGTGATGAATAGTAGATGTAAAAATATGAAAGAGAAAAACACTAAGGGATTACATACAGTGTTACAGTGACATCAGGTATCATCAGGCAAGATGATATCTTGCTGTGTGTCCAATTTAAATTAAAGAAATGAAGATTAAACCAAATTAATTCAATTTAATTGATTTTGAAGCATAGATGTTTCATTTCCTAGAAATTTGAGATCATGCATTTTCTTCAGTTATAGACAGAAAATGTGCCAAACTTCTGCACGTAGTAGTACAATTTATTTATGCTTATACACCTCTTCTGTGTAAACCTACCTCAGTCACTGAGGTCTAGAGACTGAAATCAAGCCAGAGGGATGAGTATCTTATTTATGGATAGCATATGAAACAGCAGAAATTAGAGAAATTTGAATAAACATTGAATTGAAATAATTTAAAACTTCTCTTACTTTACCAGTCTGTTATTTGTTTGGTGTTTTTTTTTTTTTTTTTTTTTCTGTTTTTTTTTTTTTTTTTTTTTTTTTTTTTTTTTTCCTTCTGAATAGTTCTCCATTTAGGAATGAATGAGATTTCAGATAAAATGGATTTTTAGTTGTTGCATAATACAGTGTTTAGCACTCTTTTTGATGGTTGAATATTGTGGTACAGATCTGTTTTCTGTTTGACTTTTATAAACTTATTTAGTCACCAAACGAGGAGATACTTCAGCACATGTTCTTCATTGAACCTGAGACTATATGACAGTTTTATTGTTTGATATTGACAAAATAATTAAGTATTGAGGTGTCACTGTAGTAAGAGAAAAATGGACCTTCTCCCTCTCTCTGGCTATAGACCATAAAATATCCAATAAACTGTGACAGAGACTAGTAGTGTTGAATTTATACAAGGGGATTTTGAAAAAGCTAATAATTTCCAGTGTGTTATGATAAAAAAATACATCCTCCCCCATCCCCATCTCCCCCCACCAAAAAAAAAGATAAAAAGAAAAAAAACAATAGACCCACTCTTTATTTTAATGCATATCCCAGGAAAAAATGTTGCTGAAAATTCTCTGCTCAAAAGTACGGAAATTAACTAGTGTAAATTTCTTTTCAAAAAGTACACAACATTCAAAATCTGGAAGGATAAATTATGCAGTAAAAACATTCATTTTAGGGACATTCCTATTATTGGTGCACTTACGAACTTGTTGAATTTTTAACTTTTTGTTACACAATTATTACCGTTTTCTTCCATAAATATTACCGACATTTAAGACAATGTCCCATAACTTCTTTGTTAGTGTAGAGATCAGTTTTACATTGGCATTTAAAAATAGATCTGTCCCATTAGCAGCACTGTATGAAATAGGGTTGAACTATTTTCCATAGCAGTAGTGTACCCGTGCACACTGGAAAATATTACTAATGACATGGTTTTAAATAGTTGTCCCATTGATATGTCTACTTCCTGTTCAGTGGTTCTCCAGATCCTGGCATAGTGGTGACTTAGGTTCTTCTACTCTTCAAGGATTTAATATTAAATAACTCAAAATTAACAGGATAGGTAGGAAATTGCATCCAAAATTGAGCTGGAATAACTTCTAGTTCAAACATCTGTGTCAGGAGATCTGCAGGTAGTGGTAAGGGTCTACAGGATTCTACAACTCCGTTGTAGCTATAGATGAAGTCTGTTCAAAATAGTGACTGAAAATAGTCTGCTAATCTCCTGTTTCTAAGCAAAAAGGTTCAAAACTCCTACAGAGAGATTTTCAGGGAGTAAAAAAAAAAAATCTGACATTAATTGGAAATGAAATTTGTAACATCGTATTGTTTAATTTGTAACTGTGAACTTGCATGTGGAGGCTGTGTCTATGTTGCTGTATAATAGCAGTTGCTAGACTTAGAATTCCTCACTGGTGGCTCCTTACACTTCACTTACAATAAATTTCACTGATGTGATCTGTCAGCAAATATGTAGAATGCACCTTTAACATCCCTGGAGTATGTGGTCTGGGTTTTTTGTTGTTACTAGTACAATAAGTATTTCTTATGTTTTTGCATTGTCCTAACAGGCATCATTTATAAAAACTGACACTGTACAATATTGTGTCTGGGGTTCAAGCTTTGCAGCTATGTTAAATTTGACAGATGTCAGTTGATGCATGTGAAATACTTGCAACAAAAGAAAATTTCTGAGAAATTGTCAACACTATTGATTTTTTTGTCAGATAGTCTACATGGGCTGGACGGAAGAACGGGAACAAGACTCCCTTCAGGACCGAATGTACACACCAAAGTTTCTAGCACTGAGGGGAGCTTCTCTGTATAAATTTATAGCACCTCCAGTAAGTATGTTTCTTATGGTTAGTGGGAATATCTATTATTAAATAAAATAATGTTATGTACTGTGTACAATGAGATATCACTCATTGGGCTAGAAGGACAGCATTGAAGAGTTCCAGGATGTGTGTGATAGAAGTGACAGAAAACAGGTCTTCATCAGGTGATTGGGTATCTAGTAAGAACTTATTTTCCCACACTTAAATGAACACTTAGAAAAATAAAAGAAATCTGCTCATGTTAAAAGGAAGCTTTTAATTTTCCTTTGGCAGACAGAATAGGCCTGAAGCAAGGTGGTTAGATTTAAACTGAACCATCATTCTAGAGAAACTGCTGAGATTTGGGGAAATATCAAAGCTTTTTACACACTGTGGAGATGGCAATATGTCTCTATTTAGATTCCGTCCTGAATGTAAGTTTTTGCTGCTTGAGAACACCAAAAGGTAGGTAGGGAATCAAATGAAATTAAGTTAAAAATATTAATCGAAATCTCACATGGAACACTGGGCAAAATTTTAGGGCTCTTCTTATACTCAGCAATTTACTTTCACAGTCTTATGGTACACATAAGATGCAGTAAAGATCCTCTAGCTAATTTTTAAGGCAGTTGCTAAGGAGACAGTAGCAGTCCAAACCATGTCTGCCACAGGAAGAGTCATGTGGATTAGTTTTTCCTCTTTACTGGGTGACCTTTCTGACTGCTGCTAAACCCTGTGTTTGTGAGATCCAGGCTGTAGCTCCTTCCTGCCTGAAACAGAATCATAGAATAGTTTGGGTTGAAAGGGAGCTTTAAAGGTCATCTAGTCCAACCTCCCTGCAACAAGCAGGGACACCTTTAACTGGGGCAGGTTGCTCAGAGCCTGTCTGACCTGGTCTTGAATGTTTTCAGAGATGGGGCATCTACCACCTCTTGGGGCAATCTCTTCCTGAGGTAGTTCAAAGCTATCTTGCAAATCTTTAGATTGATCATCACTAAAGGTTTAAAAACATGTGAAAGACATGGGGAATGGAAGTAAGCGTGAACTGAAAACCTCGTGTGTTCAGTGTTTGTAGACTAGTTCACAGGTGTGGGATTTTGGTTCTCTCAGGTCTGTTAATGGGAGCTTGGCTTTTTTTGGTGGATATTTTTCAGTGTCAGATTAAAATGTCAGATTATGCTAACAAGCACATTAATTCAAAAACAGTGCTCCTGTCTTTGCCAGACCTACTTGAGCATTTGCTGTCTGTCAAGTAAAACCAACTCCATTCTGGGTACTAGATAAAATCAGAATCAATGATGAGAAAACCTGTTCAATAGAAAAGAGGAAGATTATTCTTTTTAAAGAACTATGGAAGAGACCACAAGCCTCTTTACTGAAGAATCATAAATTTCTAGGAACAATATACTTGTAGGGGGTAAATGTCTGATGGGGGATGATTAATGGGTGTGAAAGGAACATGTTCATATGAAGAGTCTCAACCATGGTGATGTGAGTAAGGAAAAATTTGGCAAGCTGCTATTGTATAAGACAAGAAATTCATCCTCAAGTTTTTATATCTCTGGTTTCAGCTCAGCTGCAAGCACAAAATGAATTTGTATTGCAGATTCTGATTCCTACTCTAAAATAGAAAAAGTGTTCAAATGCAGAGAAAAATATTTTGTCTTCATGGAGTAGGAGGAAAGCAGAATGATAAGCATGCTTTTTTAGGACAGAGGAAGAGCTCCTACAGAGCTGCCTTAAAGACATAGAATCATAGAATGTTTATGTTAGAAGGGACCTTAAAGATCAAGTTCCAATATATAATGTATATAATAATCGCGCACTTCTAAAATCTTATTTTCTATATGCAAACTTTTACACATACAGTTATGTTTGCTATTCTACAGGTTTGTTTCTTCCCGGGATTAGAAAATATTATGAACAATGTTTCAATGACAGTTTCAGAGATTCTTTTTAGGAGATGCATAAAGTGTAGTTAAAATAAAAACTGTTTTAATTGTATGTGCAGAATAAACTACTTGAACATAGTTGTTTCCTGAAAAGAGATGTCTTGCAAACTTTTTTAACCAGAAAATCAAACAAAGGTATTTCCCCAGTCTCTGCCAAAGTCTAACACATTAGGGAAGCACGTGTTTAAACAATGTCTATCAACAACTTCCCCCTGCCTCTTTTTTTATCTGTTTGATAAAAAAGTAGTACTTCTACTTCCCATACTCAGATAAAAGAGCAGTCTTAGTGTTTCTTATTTTCATTTTGAAATTTTTAAAGAAAATTACTTCTTTACTATTTTTCCTATTATTTCCTGGCACATTTCCTTCTTTACAATTATTCATTGTGTCAAGTCTGGTGTGTTTAAATTTCTTCCAATTTATAATTGGAAATTTACTTGAGAAAGAGCCACTAACATCCTTTCTTTTGCTACTCAACATTTTAAATTAAAACATTAAAAGTGAATGGTGCAGCAATTTCTGTGGGTGTCTTAATTCTACAATTGCTTTTGTTTTGCACATATCTTTGTCCAGAAAGAGTTTTGGTTTGACCTGAAAAGAAGTCTTTTTACAGGTACAAACTAAAGTAGGAGAGCAGGGGAGAAGAGGGAGCTCTTATATTTCCCCCCAAAGTATGGAGCTTATCATAAGTTTTTAAACATAGCTCCAAATGGATTTGTTCTTCAGGAGCAATAATAATGACTTTTCCTCATGGCACAATATTGCTTCATCTGGTGTGATTGGGTGTTCTAGGCTCAGTGGGGGTGTAGCAAGGCTTTTCTCTTGTGTTTGTGGTGAGAAATGTATGTTTTTGTCCATAGGAGAAAGACTAGCTTTGTGGTTTAATACCCACAGTTCAATAAGATAATGAAGACTGCATTTGATAGTGACTGAAAATAAAGAAAATTCTAATAGAAGAGGAACTATAACACTGTATTTTTGACCTTTTCATTTCCGCCTGTGATTTCCTTAAAAGACTTTCCATTACAGCAATGTTTATAACTAAAAATTAGTTAGGGATAGAATTTTCTCATACATTATCAAAATAATTTTCGTTTATTAATGATTACTTTCTCTTTAAATAAGAGATAAATTGATCTCATATAATATTTTGTTTATTTGGCTTAGAAAATATTTTATTAAACATTTTTCAAAAGTTTTTCTTGAATCTTGTAGAAGAAGTAATGTATGTTTTCATCAACCTCTTCACTGTGACTAACAAATTTAATGATACAGCTGTCTTCCTTTGGATATGAGCCACTGTCCAAAGTGTCTTACCATTAAGATGATTATTGTTTCATTAATAACCTCAATTTCTTCTTTTTCTTTAATATTTTCCTGTTTTCTGCTTGTGTTTTCCTTGGAAATTTTATACTGTTCTGATATTGCCTTAACTCTTTCCTTATTGAATATATTCATCTGTCCCTTTCTGTCTCATTTTAGTCTTAACACCTCCCCTTCCATGATTTAATTATTTTTTTTATATATGCTTTTTTTTTGTGTGTAAAACAGTTGCCTAAAATGAACACAGTTATAAACAGTTGTGAAATCCCGAAACAAAGAGGGGAAAAAAAAAAAAAGACTATTCTTCAAATCTTAGTTTGTTAGAATTTAGGAGTAGATTGATCTTATTAAGAAAAAAAAGAAAATGAATATCTGCCTATGTTGTCTCATGCTTTGTTTTTTCCCCCCTGGATATCAAGGCATGTGGGGTAAGTGTCTGGGACATTGCAAGGCTGGAGACTGGTTTTATGGATTTGCAAATGCTGTAGGTTATTGGGAGCAAATAGTGGCACAGAGTTGCAAGGAGGAAAGCGGTGAGAAACATGTTTAATAATAGACAGGGCCCTGGCTCTGTGAGAGGAATTCAAGGGCTGTATCCTCTCAGGATCTCACTGCAACCCCTGCAAGTTCCCAGGGGAAGTATCATCATTTTGCATAGAGCAGGCTGCATGCAAAGGAACTGCATTGTAAGGACAGGGAGGATGTTTTCTAAGCATTGCCTGGAGGGAACAGTCTGGTCCCTGCTAGTTGGTGCTTTGAGGCAGTGCTTAGTCTTTCTAAATATATTTTAATCAATGTAAATAATTTAGGGATTTTTTTTCTTAATAAGCTTAATTCTTAAAAACCAACAAAAAAAATAACTTCATTTCTTTTTCTGTTTATTTTGTGTTTTGTTTGTTTTTAAAGGTCACAACCTGGGATTGGACACGAGCTGAGAAAACATTTTCAGTTTATGAGATAATGTGCAAAATTCTCAAGGTATGATAAGAAAGTATAAAATAAATTGCCACTTTGACACATGAGAGCATAACACTAACTACCTTGCAAAAAGAGATCTATTTTTTATCCCTTTAAAGTCAAATATCAGAAGTTCTGGTGTCAGTAGGCACAGAATTGAACTAGAAGGCATGGCAAAATTGGAAATAAACTGATTTTGACTAGGAAACTACTTTATTTTTCCATAATGCTGTGTGGAGTTTACAGTTTCACTTTAATGCCACATTTAATTAGTGCAACACTTCATTTTCTAACTGAGGACCTAAAGAAGCAGTGATGAGCTTGGTTTTGTTTTCAAAAATGTTGATGGAACTAATAGCAGCTGAAATGTATGATTTCACTAGGACTGAGAGTAGAATCCTTAAAATATGCAATACCCTTTTGAAAACTTTTTTCTTACTTTTTTCCAGTTTCTTCAGTCTGTCTGAAGTGTAATAAATGAGAAGACATAATGATATATGTTTAGAAAGATAAAATTATGAGTAGCAAGTTAATTAAGACCATTATTGTACATTGTTTCAAATTTTTAAGTGTGAATTCAATCAGAAATTTTTTGTCTGATCTTTTCTCTGTTTTAAAAACAGCGAAATCAGATGCTCAGAATTTCTCAAATGAGAAGGAAAAGAGATGCCTTTTTCTGTGCATGTGAAGTGCTTTCTGGTTTATGTTTGTTTTGAGGGCTTTTTGGTCCAAATTACATAAAAGGTAATTTTACCATTAGATGCAGATGCAGACTAGTATCAACAAAAAATATGAAAATACCATACTTTTTAAAAGCGTTTTCCACTGGAAAGACCTTTTACTGACTTAAATGGTACATTTCTTAGGTTTGTAGGTCACATAGGTGCACTATATTTTCCTTAGGGAGGCAGATTAAAGGTGCGATGGCTCAATAAAGTTTGGAAATACTTTGCACTTGGGAGTTAAAAAAATACCCAAAAAAACAAAGAAAAGGCCCTACCAAGTTTATAGTCTGAAAAACTCCTCTTTGCTTCTTTGAACAGAGAAGTGAAAAGTTTTCTTTTACTGCTATGTTGGCTGTGAGGTGGAGGCTTCATCAAGTAGAACCTCAAACACAAAACATCCCATCCCTGTGGGATGTCCTTCAATTACCGAGTGTGTGCAACGTTTGGCTCCTTAGCAGGGCTCATGTAGGAAGAGGAGTAACAGAAGTTGTTCACTTGGTGAAGTCATGGCACTAAAGGTGTAAGTGAACAATACTCTTAAGAATACAGTCAGGCTTTGGAAATGTTGAAAAATGCCACTTCTTACGTGCACTTTTTTCCCCATTCCCTTTGGTAACCTCTGATTCCTTCAGGCCTTGGGTTTAATGCAATAAGCATGCAATTTAGCTCCTCCTTCTCAGAGAACTAAGTGCTTTAGAGCCAGCATGACTCCTCATAACTTATCCAAAGATTTTTTTATACTCTTTGAACAGAAACTTACTGAATGTTTTCCATTTAATTTTCTGTAATTTAAAGGTTCTTCTTTTTTTTTAGTAATTTTCCTTTTTCTCCTAATTCTCTTGCAATTTTAGCCATTTTTCTTTTCCCCCCTTTGTTCTCTGTCTCCTATTCTTGCATACCAATACATTG